CAGCTGTGTCACCTACTGCTGAGAGGTCAAGCAAGGTAAAGACTGAGTTATCTTTTGCACATACTGACATGTAGATTAATTATTGTTGACCTTGGCAGGAGCAGTTTCATAGTGACTGAAGCCATATTGCATTGATTTGAGGAATGATGGAAGGTGAGGAAATGGGGATGGTGAGTATAGACAACTCTTTCCAGAAGTTTAATTGAAGGAGAAAGAGAGAGAATGAGGGCAGGAGTTGGTGGAAGAGGTGAAGTAAAGGAGTTTATTTTTTGTTGTTGTTTTTAAGATGGACAGATTATCTGGTGACCTTAAATTCCTGAGTAGAATGTGAACCTCAAAAAGACTGAAAATAAATACATTTTAAGTAAATTTTAAAAATGGAAATCCAGTACATTATTTTGCCAGGTTCTCTTCCTGCCCCCTTTTGCTTTAGGATATAAGACATAGTACATTTAGTGTTACAGGCATTTATAATAATCAACCTGGATAGGAAAGGCCTCCAAAATTAATTTTTAAAAGTCAGCATCTCTGTCTGTCTGTCTCTCTCTCTCTCTCCCTCACTCCCCCCCTTCCCCCCTTCATACCTCCCTTCTCCCCCCTTCCCTCCATCTCTTTCTCTCTTATCTCCTTTACATTTTCCTACTTAGAAAATTATTTAGTACCTAATCGATAACTATCCAGTAGCAAGTGGTCAGTAAGTGCTTCATGAGTAAATTAGCACATTTTTTGGTAATATTTGTGACAAATAGTTCTTACATCCTTTTTAACGCCTTCATTCAGTCTCTTTTTAAATGTGACATTTGCTGTGATTGTCCTCAACCTGTGAACTAACATCCCTGTGAGATGGAGTTGTCTGATACGAAGGGACGTTCCAAAGAACTGAGTTCTAGTTCAGCTTCATTAGCGAGTCCAGGCAGATTTTTATTCCTTTCTAAAATAAAGATAAATCACTCTTCTCATGGTCACTGAGGACATTTTTGAATGATGTCATCATTATTCATTTGTAGAGCTTGAAAAATGTACCGAAGCCTAGTCCTAGGAATCAATTAGATCTTGTTCCTGCTTTTTGGGTTCATTAAAATTAACCTACACAGTGCATACTGTGGTCAGCAAGTACTTGAGCTCCTAACATGGTTCTTAACCCTAGATCAGGTCTAAGACAAAGATGGGAAGCATGAGAATAAGGATGGTACAAACGGATAAAGATTCTAAGATCTGTACAGTTGTCATATCTGTAGCCATTGGCTTCTAGTTTGTGACAGATAGTTTGCATCTTTGTAACTTTTAGTGATGCTTTGAAAGCAACCAAAATAGGAAACTGTTAACATCTATTTGAAAGAGACTGCGTTTGTTAACTTTTTTAAGCTGAAAGATAAACCAGTTGCTATTTTCAGTATTTTCATAAAATAATAGAAGAAAGTTGAAAATGATTTAATACTGCATTATTGTTGACTGTTATGGTCAGTGTGCCTTTTTTTAATGTTGAATAGTAAAACTAATTAATCCTGGGAGCTGATGATTATGTGTATGATAATTAAAAACAAAAAATCCCAATCATGACTTGAACTTCAAGATGGAGTTAACGAGATAAAATTTATTCTTGCCAGTAGATTGGAGCAAGTTTCAGGTCATAATAATGAGTGGCCTAGAAGGGAAGCTTTCAGTTGGACAGCAACCATTTCTTGACATCTGACTTTGAAAAAAAAGAAGCATGAAAGCATCTCTCTCCCAAGAAAATTACATTCTTTGAGTGAAAAAACAGATAACAAAACAGTATGTTAAGTGAGAAAAGAGTATATTTTATGCACCTCTTTTCATGTGGAAAATTGGAGATGTGTACAAGAAAATATTAGCAATATAAGAAATCCTGGTTACCCAAAGATAATGAATCTCAGTGAATGCAAGTGAAATGGTGACTAAAAGTTTATTGTAAAAAGTAAAAACTTTCATTTGGGACACAATCTTGAAAAAACAAAGCTCAAAAAATCAAGGAATAGCTGAGTCTTAAATGAACAAAGAATAAAGTATACATTATGATTCTGTACTATAATTTTTTTTTTTAAGATTTTATTGGGGAATTGGGGAGGGTAACAGTGTTGGGGAATTGGGGAAGGGGACCAGCCAAGTTGTCATTCTTCAATCTTCATTGTGGAGGGCGCCAGTCGCCATCTGGCTTCCCGTCGGCAGCTCGTGGCCTCTAAGCTCAAGGTGCTGTGTTCAGTCTTAGCTGCGGGTGGGCATAGCCACCATTCCATGTGGGAGTTGAACCAGCAGCCTTGTTGTTAAGAGCACATGCTCTATCCACTGAGCCATCTGGGCAGTAGCTCAGCTCAAGGTGCCAAGTTCAGTCTTAGTTTCAGGTGGGCCATCAAACAGGCAATCTTGTTGTTACACCACCTGAGCCATCCTGCCACCTGTTGGCAGCTCAGCGACAGCTCAGCTCAGGCACAGTGTCACTCGCCCATGTGGGAATTGAACTGGTGGCCCTGTTGCTCAGAGCTCGCGCTCTTAAGCCAACTCTTAACCAACTGAGCCACTCGGCTGGCCCTCTGTACTATAATTTTTGTGACAAAATTATAGGGCAACATTATCTTTTTTTTTTTTTTTTTTTTTTTATTGAAAAAATATTTTAGGGATTTATCAATTTTCCCAGGGGCTATTTTTCAATTTTTGATACTCATATCATTGTCTTTTGCAGCTCCTGTAATAATTCTTTTTGGGCTAATCGGTAGAACTTCTGCTAGATCTTCAGCTATCAGCAATGAGTTAGGAAATTCTCCAATATCACTTTCATAAAATCCTACATCCTTATAACTGTAGTAGAAATATATGCTGTTGTTAATTATAGAAGTATATAGGGCAGTTCATTAATGAATATTTTAGTGTTATGACAACTATTATTCCTTATGCAGCCTTGTAACTATGGGGATTATATAGTGAATACTGGGGTAATGAAGATTCTATAGTTATTTCTGAGTGGTGAGATTCTTTTATTGATTTTATTTAATTAGTTATTGCTTATTTGTGCAGTCAATTCTTTTTATTTGAGGTATTTATGTTCTGTAAAGTTACCAGGAATACTGCATTAGTGGATACTGAACCATTGCTCCTAAGTGAAATACGGGGCTAGGTTCCTTGCATAAATGTGAGCTTTTGGTCACATTTTCATCGACCAGTCAATACATAACCTTGTTGTATGTGTGTTTCTGTTTAAAGACACTTTATTTAGTATATTTTGTTGATTCATTAACATTGAACTCATACAGCCAATAGCAGTATAACATATATGCCTGAATGAAGCTTATGTAACACCCATATTTTCTCTGTAAGGCATATCACAGCCCTTTGGCACTTAGGAACACTACACAGCACTTCCGCACTGTGCATGGGGCCATTTTAAACAGCAAAATCACCAAGAAAGAGCACAGAAATGTGAAAATATGGCCTAAATAGACTGTGAAGAGGACACTTCCTTACAGTATGAGAGCTAAACAAAAAGGCACGCATGGATGTGTTCTGTATTAGCTGGGAATCTGCAAGTCAGGTGCCTCAAATTTTTCAACACCATACATATGTCCAGAAATTAACGCCAAAGCTCCCGAGTATTGATTTTGGAGTTAGAAATAAATTTTAGCTATTTGGCAAATTCACAAATACAGAATCCATGAATAATGAAGATCGGCTGTAGTTTTTAATTTTTTTCACATTAAACTTATTGTTGTGACTCTTATAAAGTGGAAGCACAAAACAAGCTTCCAGAAAATTAAATTGCAATATGATTTGGACGGCAAAGTAAGACTTTTAAAATAAATAGAAAACATTTAAAAACACATTATATTTTCACTTACGTGTACAGTAGTTCCCCTTTACCTGCAGCTTTGCTTTCTGCAGTTTATTTACCTGTGATCAACCAGTCGGAAAATATTAAATGGAAAATTCCAGAAATATTAAGTTTTAAATCATGCACTGTTCGAAGTAGCATGATAAAAATCTCAGACTGTCCCACATCCTGCTCTGTCCTGCCCGGATGTAACTCACCCCTTTATCCAGCATATCCATGGTGTATACCCTACTCTGCCATTTGTCACCTAGTAGCTCTCTCAGTTATCAGATCCCCTGTCATGATATTGCAGTGCTCATGTTCAGGCACCCCTTGTTTTACTTAATAATGTCTCATTCACCTCACTTCATCTCATCACATAGGCATTTTATCATCTCGTATCATCACAAGAAAGGTGAGCACAGCACAAGAAGATATTTTGAGAGAGAGAACCACATTCACATAACTTTTATTACAGTATATTTTTATAATTGTTCTGTTTTATTATTAGTTGTTGTTAATCTCTTACTGCGCCGAGTTTAAAAATTCAAGTATCATAGGTAAGTATGTACAGGGAAAAATCGTATATATAGGGTTTGGTACTATCCATGATTCCATGAATCCACTGGGGGTTTTGTAATGTATCTCCCATGGATAAGAGGAAACTAGTGTGTGTACCTGGGGATAGCTAAACTAATGATACAGCAGATGTTTAAAAGAGAGAAGGCAGAGAGAAGAGGTAGGACTACTTGGTTATATGCATTAACTATAAGACCTCAATGGATAAATCTGAACCAATTAAAGACAAGTTAAAAACAAGTAGCTGTGAATATATCAAAAAGACTGCTCTTACCTCCAAAAACATGTGTTTTAAAAGAATAGAGAAGTATGTTGAATTAATATAAATGGTATGGTTTAACATAAATGTAGGAGAGGAATTGAAAATCTTGCTTGTTTATTTATTTGCCTTTCTCAGTCCAGCTTTGCCTTTTCTTACATATAGACACATGAACACAGACACAAATGTATTGGGTTGTTGGAAAAGTCATGACGCATTTTTGCAATGAAAAACAGAAAAAATACATCATGACTTTTCCGACAACCCAATAGCTCTCTGTAAACACCAAGTTGCAGCTATACAGGATTTAAAGTAAATTCTTAAAAATGGTTTCTGTTGTAGGAACAGCAGCAGTACTGGTATCGACAGCACTTGCTTAGTTTGCAGCAGAGGACAAAAGTACATTTGCCAGGACACAAAAAAGGTCCTGTCATAGCAAAGGATGCGCCCAAGCCAGTAAAAGAAGTTACAGTATCTGCCACCAGTCAAGTACCAGAATCCCCTCCATCTGAGGAGCCCCCATTACCACCTCCTAATGAGGAGGTACCACCCCCTCTCCCACCTGAGGAATCCCAGGTAACCATAAAATTAATTACTTGGTATTTATTAAATTGTTCAGCTTTTTTCTGATTCATTTATATATACCTTTGTCATGAATGGATATATATTTTCATGTGTTTCTTTAAGTACATATAAAATTCCATTTATGATCTGATCAGATGTATGCCTTTTCAGGTTTACAAAAGGCATTTTTTCATGGTTGAAGTGAGAGTGAAGAATTAGACACTTGTAAATTGTGTCTCTAAGTACTAACGGGATGGCTTTAGTATGGCAGCACAGGGCAATAGTTAACAGCTCCAGTTTTTATCGTCAAACTGCTCAGGCTGTAGTCCAGGCACTGCCACTTACTGGTGGTGGATCTGAGCAAGTTGGTTAACCATTCTGTGCTTTAAATTTCTCATCTGCAAAATGAGTTAGAGCATTAAATGTGATAATTCTTGTCACTCAGCATACACTGGCACATTGAAAGTTCTCAACACTGGTCCAAAGGTCATTGCTCTCCTGAGAGCCTTATGTGGAAACTTTATTGAATTATACTATAGTCCATTGGTGAAAAGTGACTAAGGTGAAAAAGAAAGATTTCTTATAGAGTGAAAAGGACGGTAACTGTAGATTGACTTTGTTGGGGAACTGGTTGTCCTATTTAGGAACAGTGGGATTATTCAGTAAAGACTATGGAATTTATAAACTTTGTATGGGTATCCATGATCACAGTATAGATATTATCTTTAGTATTTTATCTAAAGCTAGACTAGCTTTTCTCAATCAGCCAGACTTACAGGGATTCTGGACTTGATAATACAATATAATGCAATATGATCCTTTATAATATAGTCATAGTCAGTTTTCTTAATAATTTGATTGCTGTTTTATGACTTAGTTAAAATGCGTTCTCTTTTCTCTTCAGTCTGAGGACCCGGAAGAAGATGCCAGGTTAAAACAGTTGCAGGCTGCCGCAGCCCACTGGCAGCAGCACCAGCAACACCGAGTTGGCTTCCAGTATCAGGGTATAATGCAGAAGCACACTCAGTTACAGCAGATCCTACAACAGTACCAGCAGATCATACAGCAGCCTCCACATATGCAGGCAAGCGCTTCCTCGGCTGACACACCGAAAGTTCCCCCAGGACATTGAAAGGATTTGTTATTCCTGAAAGAGATTCAAGTGTGAAGAAAGAAAGTTAGCAAATAATTGACAATCAGATGTTTCCCAAGGGGTGCCCAAGTAGTTCTCTATCACATTACCTGAGGGCTTGGGAAGTGTGGTGGTGTTATGCAGATGCTCTTGGGGGGTGGGGAGATAGGACAGGTATAATGGAATCTTCTGGTCATGCCATCCCAGGCAGATGGTAGAGTACTGTTGGTAAGGGGTTTAAAAACCAGAGATCCTTATCAGGTAGATTCAAGCTCACCTGTGTTTCGCCTACAAACCACTATGGTAATAGACAAGCGGAAAATCCACACAAAAAATCAAAGCAACCACCATGAAACACCTAAGCAAATATACCATAAAAGATGAAATGACTTAGATGCTTGTTTGTCTTGTATCTTTGAGGTATAAACTTATGTCTATATCTCTATAATAATAGATTTTTGTAAGTTCTTAACATGATCCATAGTAATACTAAAGCTTGAAAAATACTTACTGCTGAGGTAGACGTTTGCTTTAGTGTTTGTTTGAGTTTTCCAACTCTGATAAGTTAGATAAATTAGTCAGAGGAAGAAAGAAGAATGACCCATCACTGAACGGATATAACAAGCTTATCCGTAGCCTCCTGGAGTCTTTAGTGTTGTAATTTCCTAAGATTTCAAATGCCCTTGGTTCATTAAAATTTTAAGTTGTGATTAATTCTCTTATATGAATGTCTTGAAGTAATTTTTATCCCTTTACTTGTAGACCATGTCTGTAGATATGCAACTGCGGCATTATGAGATGCAGCAGCAACAGTTTCAACATCTCTACCAAGAATGGGAGCGCGAGTTTCAGCTGTGGGAGGAACAGCTCCACTCCTATCCTCATAAAGATCAGCTTCAGGAGTATGAGAAGCAGTGGAAAACATGGCAGGGACATATGAAAGCCACTCAGACCTATCTCCAGGAGAAAGTCAATTCATTTCAGAACATGAAAAACCAGTACATGGGGAACATGTCAATGCCACCTCCTTTTGTTCCATATTCTCAGATGCCTCCACCTCTACCAACAATGCCCCCTCCGGTATTGCCTCCATCATTGCCACCACCCGTGATGCCCCCTGCCCTGCCTGCTTCAGTACCACCACCTGGCATGCCCCCACCTGTGATGCCACCTTCTTTACCAACCTCTGTGCCCCCACCTGTGATGCCTCCAACTCTGTCTTCAACAGGGCCACCACCAGTTCTTCCCCCACCTTCCCTCTCTTCTGTAGGGCCACCACCAGTTCTTCCCCCACCATCTCTCTCTTCAGCAGCGCCTCCACCTGTCCTGTCCCTCCCACCTTTGTCTTCAGCCACACCTCCTCCAGGAATACCTCCCCCTGGGGTTCCACAAGGGTTACCTCAGTTATCAGCAGCCCCAGTTCCACCAGTCTCCAGCTCTCAGAGTTCACAAGTTCCGGAGAAACCTAGACCAGCACTGCTTCCCACTCCTGTGTCTTTTGGTTCAGCCCCACCCTCATCTTACCATCCTCCATTGCAGTCAGCCCTCGGCCCATCAGAGCAAGGGAATTCTAAAGCTCCTCTGAGCAAGTCTGCTCTGCCATACAGTTCGTTCTCATCCGAGCAAGGACTTGGGGAGTCTTCAGCTGCTCCCTCTCAGCCAATCACTGCAGTCAAGGACATGCCTGTGAGGCCAGGTGGACTGCTACCAGATCCTCCTAGAAGCAGTTACATGGAAGGTCAAAAAGGACCAAGGTAGGTCTGCCCTTTTTTTTTCTTGGGTTTGGTTTGTCTTGGCCTTTTGTTTCAGGATGAGCAGGCCTTGATGGTATAAAAAGCTTCATTTATACAATTTTTGTCTTCTCTTTGTACTTTTAATCTATATACATTCCTGGTTTACAATTAGTGTTAGCATTGTTCACTTATTAGACAGGACATAATGAAATCTAGAAATGATAACATGTCCCCCATTTTTTTTATATCACTGCTTTTATCCTACATGTAGAGATTATAGTGCAGGATAAATGTAATGTTTTAAAGTAATGGTTATCAATTTCTTATTGACTTTTCTACTTCAAAAGTAATATTTATTAAATTTGGTTTTTTTGCTTTTTGTTTATTTGACAAATAATTGAATTGAAAATGTTGGAGATAAAGGTGAATAAGCCAACATTCTAATGAAATAAGGCTATGAAATTTATTGTAAGGGTAAATAGGACTTACATTTTATCCATTTGTTTAGCAAATATTTATTAAGTTCCTGCTTCATTTACTGCAGTGATGACAACAGAACAGACAAATGGAGCTTATATCCTTTATATGTTCCTCTCTTTGGGAGATGTTTTTCTTTTGTCTGAACCACATTTTTATTTAGAAAAGCACACACAAAAATTTACTAGTAGTTTCTAAAGTTTTTTGGTTTGCGTTTTAAAAAGTGTGAAATTCATTTTTCTTAGTTTATAAAAGTATATTTTTCTCCCCTAAATGATAATTTTCATACAGAAAAACATTTTCAATCAGATTTTTTTCCAACTGGAAATCATAATAGAAATACATACTTCTTATAGAAAATTTAGACAGTACAGAAAAGTATTGAAAAAAGTAAAAGTCACCTAATTCCACTGGAGATTATTATCTGGAGACAATAATTTTAAAAATATGTCATAAAAATGAGATCATACTAAGTATATTTTGTAACTTGCTTTTTTCACCTATCAGTACATAGGTGAGTTTTCCATCTCAGTGTCAGTTGATCCACATCATTTTAAATTTAAACCTAATTTAAACATTTGAGAACAAAATATATCTTTTATTTGTTCCCCAAGTTTATAATTCTGAAAACAGCATGGTACAAAACTCCATCCAAAATCAGAGCTAATTAGAGGCAAATAACATGAATTCCTCTGGGTACCAGAAGCCTTGCCAGAGGCTTTCGATAAACATTATCTCATGGCGTCTTCTCAGCAGCCTGTGAATTGGGCAGGTTCATACCCTCCATTTACCCTTTACAAGCTGGGGCTAAAAAGATTGGGTAAGTTGCTCAGGATCATGTCACTGGGAGAGGAGAGCCTGAGTCTATACCCAGTGGGTCCTCAGAGCAAAAGCATAGTTAAGTACTGTATTTAATGTCATGATTCAATAATGTTCATACTGCCAAGTGATTACAAATACATTTGTAACTTTCATTTATCTGGTGTGTATATCTTCTTGATTTGAATTCTTACTTATCTCCTGGATTGAACAATGCCTTTTATAATAGATCTGGTGACTAATTTGCTATCAGAGAAATGCATTTTTAACACCTCATGAAACAAAGAAACAAAGATTTCCTGTTCCCTTTTTTTTTCTATCATATTAATGTTTCTCTCTTTTGCCTACCAAGTCTTGACTGTAAATTTAGAACCTATCTTAAGTTTTTTCTTGCCTCAAAGTACAGTTAATAACTTCGGTGCTAGGAGGATCTTAGTAATTATCTAATGCAACCTCCTGTACAGCAACTCAAATTTGTGTGGCATTTTAGTTTGTAATATTGCACATATTATTACCTTATTTATTTCTCTCAGTGATCTCATGAGGTAAGTAGATAAGGGAAGCTGAGCTTTGGAGAGGTTATAAATAAATTCCCCCAGATAACGTAGCTAGTAAATGGTTGAGATTGAATTTGAATGCAAGGCCTTCTGATCCACTTATAAATCAGTTGTACTTCCTGTGACAAGCAGTTGATGGACTCTGCTTGAACGTTGAGTTTTCTAAAAAGTTTATTTCTTACATTGACCCTAAATACGTTACTGTAACTACCTCTTGATTCTAGAGCTGCCTGTATGGTACAACACATAATGAACTATCCTGTCATTCTTATACACTGTGTTCCTACAGTTATTTCAAGGTCACCCTTTCATCTCCCCTGTCCTGCCTTACCCAGTCTGCTCTGCCATCACATAAACTCAAATTCTTTTCTTTTCATAGTAACATTGGTTCTAGTCTCCTTTAAAGGGCCTTTAGTTTGTCAGTCTTCAAAATGAACACTTAATTTCAGATGCAGAAGACCGTAGACCTATTGCCAACTTCATTATAAATAATATACTTACATAGCTGAATAAATTACCTTTCTCAGTATTGACTCATGTTGAGCTGAACATCAATTTAGATTCCCAGATCATTTTTACATTAGCTGTTAGGCCAAGTGTCTCTCATCCTGAACTTGTGCAGTTGCTTTTTGTTTTGTTTTTCTTTTTCTAAGACCTTATCTTTGTATTTCATCTAGTTAGGTTTGGGCCAACATTTTAGTCTACTGAAATCTTGGTGAATGTTGATTACGTTGTTTTTAGGTTTGAGATATCCCTCCCCAGCTTTTTCACCTGCAACTTTGATTAAGGATGGCTTTTTAAAAATTTTTGTCATTGAATTGGATCCTGCTCTCATTATCTACCTTGTTTTTTAAAGCCTTTCCCCAATCCAGCTTATGTCATTGCCATTTCTATTACCCTTCTACTTCTTTTGCTCATTTAGCCCATATAGTTTGTGACTTTTTTTTTTT